CAGCCAGCTGAGCCACCCGGCCAGGGCTATATCATTATTTTTAGTTCTTATGCCTCTAACTGCTGTTCTTACTTAACTAAATTGGCCAGTACTTCTGAAATGTTAACTTGTTGTGGCGATAGTGAGTGTCCTTGTCTTATTCCTGACTTCCATGGGTATATCTCCAGTGTTTTCCCATCAGAAGAGATGTTGACTTTGGGGCTGGTGTGTGTGTGTGTAATTATGCTAAGACAGAATTTATCAATTTTTATTTTACTGAGTGTTTTTTATTTAATCAGTGATGGGGATTGAATTTTCTTTTCAGCATCAAAGGAAATAACCATATGCTTTTTCTTTGTAGATCCAGTTTTTAATATTAATGGATTTCTTAGCATTGAATCATCCTTGCAATCCTGGAATACATTCTACCTCGTGATTATGTATTTTGCTTAATATGCTATTGGGGTCCTTGTGACAATATTTTATTTAGAATTTTCCACCTCAACATTTTTAAATGAGATTAGAATCTGATTTTTCTTATTGTGTGCAATCTTAATAATTCTCATATCATTTTGCAATTCACTTCATAAAACTAATTTGGAAGTTTTCTTTTATGACTTATGTGTGTATATTTTAACTAATATTGAAGTTATGCAAGTCCTCCTGTGAAGCCATCTAGGCCTGGCATTCTTCTTGGTGGAGGGAGAGCACTTGATGATTGAGAGGTTCTTTGAATGAATGACATGTTCACTTGAACTTCCATCCCAATCCTAGTTGTCCTCAATGCCTAGGGCTTCAGGGAGTAGGAATCAGGAAGCAAGTTTCCAGGGGTAGAGGATACTTTTCCCAAGGCAGATGGGACTAGGGCTGGATTGATAGTATAACCACATCGCCAATGGGGGAGGAATATGAGGGAGTGACGTCGGTGGGTAGAAGGGCTGTGAAGAGGTACAGCAGAGGCCTAAGTTGAGGAGAGATCAGCTGCTTCTTCTCAGAGACTTTTCTTTGGACTCTGCATTCCAACCTCTCCTGGGGGGTCTCTCTCCTGTTTTCACAGCTGGGAAGGCAAAGGAAATTTCCCATAGTCCCCTGAAGTCCTTGGCAGCCTTTGTCAGGGAGGTCCTCAGAGTCACCTCACCCAAGGGAGCTTGGACTCACAGTCAGCACTCCCACCCCCAAATTCTCTCCATTTGCATTCACTATGAGCCAGTTTCAGCCAGCAAACCCTGAGGCTCACAGGCTTATTAAAACGCTTCAGGTGACAGACATTCCTTTCACACTGAGTCTTTGATTTTCTGAGGCAGCTTTCTCCACAAGGGGGCTTCTGAACAACCACCCATTGCTCAGATGGCTGCTCTGTGGGGTGGCTTTGCTATGACAAATGGTAGATGGGGGTGGGGGGGACACAGGGCAGGCTCTTCTTGATGCCTGGGAAGCTGTGTTCTCTTTTCCTTCCAGGTCCCTTCTCCCAGCTCCCACAGCCCTCTGCAGACCTGCAGGCATCAGGGGCCTCCTTGCCCCCTTGGCCACAGACAGCCGGCTGCCAGGAGGAGCTGGGCTCTGAGAGCACTTGGCTGAGGAGGTCACCAGCCCTGTGACTGATGCAAATATGCACTTTATTAGAGGTGGGAAAAGAGGTAGGAGAAAGCTGGGATATCCCTAAAGCTCCCGCCAAGGCTGAGTCAACGGGAAGACTTTGGAGAGGCTGGTGCTCAAAGACACTGATGAGAGTGGTCTGTTTCCTGAGAGAACTCTAGGTAGTGTTTCCTGTGCACAAGTGACAGGTCTTGTAGAATGTGTGACCACTCTCAGCTCTGTTGACGCAGTTCTGTGATCCCTGCCTGGCCACAAGTTTCCAACTGCAGCAAGTGGAGTGGCTGTGGGCTCTGTGGGGCCTGCAGGTGGAGTGGTTGTGAGCAAGGGGAAGGCTGGGCTGTGAAAGGACTTGGGCTGGGAGTGTTTTACCTTGCAGGCCGGCACTTCGTCCGCTTTCCATGCAGATGGAGTCCCTCCCTCAGTGCCTGCAGCCATCTAGCTGAGTCAAGACTAACCAGGCCTGTTCAGCCCACAACCAGGAGTGAGGGCATGCATGGGACAGACTGACGTATCTCAGTCTATGGTCACAGACAATAGTGTGGTGAAAGCCTGGGGTGGGCGGTAGGGGCTGGGCGGAGGGGATAAAGGGGGGAAAATAGGGGGGACATCTGTAATACTGTCAACAATAAAAATATATATATTAAAAAATATAAAGTGAGGGCAGAAGAACTATGGTGGCTCGTTTCAGAACTTTAAAATGGAAACGTGTGTCAGTGTCTGACCGACCACAGAGGTTCATGCTGTGCTACAGAGGCTGCCAACCGGCCCCAAAGGCCCCAGTGGCCAGGAGCTCTCCGTGCAGACCTGCTCCTCAGAGCTGTGCGCCCAGCTGCTGCAGTCACTGCTGAGCGGTGGCCACATCAGCAAGGTTTCCAGATGGAGTCCCACCCAGTAGGAGGCTCCAAGGGGACTTCTGGAAGCTTCCCTGGGGATACTCTTCTGTTATTCACCTTCCTCAAAGGCCTCCTTAGGGTCTGGTTGGTACAGTGGCCACTTTTCTGCAGGAACATTTTATCTTCAGATTCTTATATTAGATGCATATGACAGAAAGAAGAGGTTGTGTAGCACCCTAGTCTTGGAGTCCAGAGACCATGGATTTACTCCTGGCAAAATAATACATTACCCAGATAGAGAGAGATACTCTTCTCTGATTTTCCTTTTACTTCCTTAATTAAATTATCAATAAGCCCAGCTGGTGTGGCTCAGTTGGTTGAGCTTCGTCCCATGTACCAAGAGATCACCAGTTTGGTTCCAGGTCAGGGCACATGCTTGGGTTGTGGGCTCCATCTCCAGTAGTGGGCATGCAGGAGGCAGCCAATCAATGATTCCCATAGATGTTTCTATCTCTCTCCCCCTTTCCCTTCCTCTCTATAAAATCAATAAAAGCATATTTTAAAAAATTAAAATATATATATCATTATCAATACTATCATTAAAGTATTGAACCTTCCTGTGTTCCAGGCACTGTGCTAAACACTTTACCAAACATTAGTTCACTGGATCTTCACAATGACCTTATGATGAGTGGGGGGAGGGGATATTATTGTTCTTATTGCTGACGAGGAGACTGAGTCTTAAGGAGGTCGAGTAACTTTCTCAAGGTCACCAAACCAGGGTGAATTTGGATCCTGGTATATCTTACTCTATAGTCTGTTAATCACCACCCTCAATTGTCTCTGAAGAGCACCATTCATCAGAATGAACTTGACTGTGTTCTTCTTTGGAGCGATTGCTTAGAAACAAATAAAACAATTCTTTAACTATTTTTTTTCACCCACTCTAAATTTCTTTGGATTCCTCCTTATATAAGACAGGTCCTGCCTCTATGATTTCCGACCACCCCTGCTACAGAAACACAGTCTGCACATTTACTGTAGCCCGAGCCCCAGCATCCACCTCTCTGTGTGCTCTATCCCCACTGGCTGCTCCTGATTTCCCCACACCTGGCTCCTTTAGCTTGGCAACCAGTTTGGAACCACCCCACAAGTTCAACCTCAACACCTTTCCTTGGACACACCTTAAGTATTATTGCTCCTTTAGCTAAAGGACTGTGATTGTTGAAAAGGGTGGAGTTGATATCTCGATGTGAGCCTTGAAGGACAGGTTGAATTCAGAAAGGCAGAGAGAAGCTGGGGAGGCATATATTGTCTAAGGGGCTGGAGGGGGGGTGAGGTGAATGGCTTATGGTATAGACTTGGGAATAGAACCCAGGGAGGGGAAGAAGCTGGTTTGAGATGAAGCATCGGGGGAGATGGGTGACAGGAGTCTGGATGGTGTGGAATGGTCAGGGTGCTTGGCTGGAATAGAGGGACCACAGTACCAGGCTTCACATGCTCCCCTGGTGGAGCTGCGCATTTTTAGCATATACACCATGGAGCATGCCCAGGGGAGCAGCGGTGAGCCCTGGACGCAGGTGAATGTGGATCTTCCACTTCCTCTCCCCAGAGTGTGGCTTCACCAGAGAGCAAGCTCTGCCTGTGAACTGTCTGAGGGTGGGGCCCTCATTATTTTCCCTGATGTCTCCAGAGCCTGCAGTCGAGTCTGGTGCTTTGTAGGCACTATGGGCTTTTTAAATGAATGAAGGAAGGGAGATGAGTCAACAGTAGGATCTGATGATGAACTGGGAGCTTCAAGCAAGGGTCAAGCAATCTCTTTCCAGGGTTAGGCAACTGAGGCTCACCCTTCTCCACATTCCCAGTTTTCAAGGGGTTGCCATGCACAAGAAAACTTACTCTTCTGCTCTCCTCTGATGATACTGTGTCATAGAGATTAAGCCAGAATTCAACAAAGTCTCAGTCCAGATAAACAAAACAGAAAATATAAGAGTCAAGAAGACCTCATTCAAGGGAAAGTGGCAGTGTTAGTCCAAGACTTTGTCCCACCCTGGTCATGTCTCCATAGTAACTGCCCCTTAGTCACTGGCTCATTAGATTTCCAGTGCAGATCCTAGCCTCAGAGTGCACAAACTTAACTTTCTCTAATCTCTGCACACATTCTATAGGATGAAGTCAGGGAAAGCCAGGGAACCCCATTGGTAACAGGTTCTATAAAGCTTGGGCATGACACAGATGCCCTGAGCTTGTTAAATAAAGGCTGTTTTGGTGTGTGTGTGCTTTTTTTTTAAAAAAGGCAATAAGAGAATTCAAACCAATAGATTGACTAACAGTAATCTAAAGACCAGTGTAGTATACCTCTAACCACATCTATGCTTATTTTTAATGTGTTTCCTTCACGGTCTTTCTTGTGGCTCACCCTATGCAGTTTGTGTACGTGTTGAGAACTCTGTTTGTCTCTGGTTTTGCTGAACTCGGTTTTTCCGAGACCCTCTCTCCTCGTAGGCTCAGTTTCGCCTTGCCACCTGCAGTCGGCCAGTTTCCGTGGCAGAAGAGGCCACATCTGCTTCCTGAGGCCCCCCGGGCAGAAGCATGCAGTGGTGTCTCCTCCTGATCTGGGCCCAGGGGTTGAGGCAGGCTCCCCTCCTGGCTTCAGGTAGGAACAGAAAACCCAGGCCTAGAGCCTGAGGAAGAGGGGGAACAGAGGGGGGAAAGGGGAGGCCGGGAGTGAATGCTACCCGTGTCTGCAGGAAGGAAACCACAGTGTTCAGAGCCCTGCGCCCCCCTTTTCTCCTCTGAGAAGAAGGTGCAGGTCTGTTCTGGGCGGCAGATGAAGGATCGGGGTTTGGGGGAACCTGACTGCCACCCCAGAAAGGAAGCAGGGGGAGAGACAGGCACTAAGAAGGAGGAATGATAAAATAGCTTGTAGAAGTTCACTCATGTTCCGTTGTCCTTTCTTCTGTCCTTGAGGAAACTTCTAGAAAAACATTGTATGATTTCTGTGGATCAAAACGTTTCCTTCAAAACGATTCTAGAGATTCTACCATCATAGATTAAATTTATGTTAAATCCATTTCCTTCTATATTAATAGGGGACACAAATATTTAAAAACTGCAGTATAAATTAGTTTTTATGGTGCTTTCTGAACCATTTGAGGGGTGGTAAGTGCTGAAAGGGTGGCTTTGCCGTGGAGACCCGGTTTCTCTCCAGTGTGCCTGTCGTTTGGAGGTCATGGCTTTCCTGAAGAGTTTTCCAGGCACCCCAAAGGGCAGCCAACCAAACAGACAGATTTTATTTCAAAGGATAATACGTTCAGAACCAAACTGGGGGGCTGGGAGATACAATGAAACAGAAGCAGTGGTTGACAGGGTTGATATTTTAGGTAGGGAGACAAAGTAAGCACGTGAAAACCATCCATGAGCTGGTCATGAAACTATAGGACAACCCAATATCCTGAGATGGTGAAGTGCTTCATCCTCCTGGGCGAGTGACAGGGTGGACCGAGGACACTAACCTTCCCAAAACCAATTCTGGCCGCAGAGCCCGTTGGAATTGCTACGGGGAGGTTCAAGGCCAGCTGTTGATGCCTACTTTTCCCCCTTCCCTAGGAGCTGTGGTAACCTTGGGGAACATTTCTGCAGAGGAAGGTGGCTCTGTCACCTTACAATGCCACCTCTCCTCCACCACCACCATGGTGACTCAGGTCGACTGGGAGCACCAGCACCAATATCTGGCCACTCATAATGCTGAGCTGGGGTGGTACATAACCCCAGCCTTCAGGGAGCGAGTGGTCCCTGGGCCTCACCTGGGCCTCACACTCCAGTCGCTGACCAGGAACGACACAGGGGAGTACTCCTGCGTCTATCACACCTTCCCTGAAGGCATTTACAGAGGGAGACTCTTTCTGGAGGTCCTACAAAGCTCAGGTATGTCGTCTGGAGCAGAGCAGCTGACGAACCTCATCCCCTAGGATAGAAAATGCATTCCTGCCAAGCACAGTGGAGCAGGGCCTCCCAACCCCAGCTCCCACTCACAGCACCTGGGGGGTTGTAAATAAGGCAGCGCCCATCCCAGACCAGTTCAGTCGGATTCTCTAGGAGCAGAGCCAGGACATGGTAAGTTCTGCGAGCAACCCTGGCGATTCGAATGTGCAGCCAAGGTTGAGAGCCACACTTGGTGTATAAAAGGACATTTTATGTATATTTACTAAGAAGGCCAGTTGATAAGGTCATCTGGAAAATGTTCTCAGTTATTGGTTTACATGGATCACGCAAATTAGAAGAAGTCCCTATGTTTATAAAGGATTAAAGCTGGTTAAAAACAAAGCTGTGCGCTAAGTGTCAATGTACAATTTACATTTAAAAAGTTTAAAATTTTTTTCAATTTCAGTTGACATGCAATTTTATATTGGTTTCTGGTGAACAACATACTGATAGACATTTGGATACCTTACCAATGTGACCAGCCTGATCAGTCTAGTGCCACCAGGCATCATACATAGTTATCGCAGTATTATTGACTATAATATTCCCTATGCTGTACTTTATATCCCCATGACTGTTTTTATATCTGGCGATTCATACACTTTAGTCCCTTCTCTTTTTTCATCCATCCCCCCACTACCCTCCCATCTGGCAACCATCAGTTTGTTCTCTGTATCTATGAGTTTGTTTCTGTTCTGTTTTTGTCATTACTTTGTTTTTAGGTTCCACATATAAGTGAAATCATATGGTATTTGTCTTTCTCTGACTTATTTCACTTAGCATAATACTCTCTAGGTCCATCCATGTTGTCACAAATGGCTAGACTTCATTCGTTTTTATGGCTGACTAATATCCACTGTGCGTATGTGCATCTTCTATATGCATTCATCTATCAATGGACACTTAGGTTGCTTCCATATCTTGGCTATTGTAAATAAGCTGCAATGAACATAAGGGTGCATATATCTTTTCAAATTAGTGTTTTGGATTTCTTTGGATAAATACCTGGAAGTAGAATTGATGGCTCACAATGCTAGTTCTAGTTTTACTTTATGATAATTTACGTTCCCCCATACTTCACAGTTTCCAAAATAATCTCACATTCATTATCCATCTGGACACTTCAACCAGCTGTCTGGATGGTGGGGAAGGATTCTTATAATATCAGAGAGACAGTGTAGTGGAGTGGTTACAAGCTCAGACTGATGCCAGACAGCCCATGTCCAAATCCTGGTGCCGCTCTTGACCTCAGACAAGTTTACTTAGCTGCTCTGTGCATCGGTTTTCTCATCTGTGAAAAGAAGGTAGATGTAAGACCTTATGAGGTGCTCACATAGGATTAAGTTACTTACTACAAGCAAATGCCCGTAGGACAGCACCTGGAACAGGAACCAAGTAAGTCTTGGCTGTGAATGCAATTCTTATCTGACTGACACAGGTGGAAGCTGAGGCGTGGACACGCTCAGAGCGCTAGAGCTGATTTTAGTGCAGGTGTTCTGGTTCCCGAAACTGCACCCTCAGAAGTTTTATGTGCTGATTGTGTTAGAGATTAAACTTTATGAGTTAGCAAAATCTGTGAAACTGTTACCTTAAAGTTTCTTTTTGAAAATTATTTATTTATTTATTTTTGTTCAAAATATTACAGATGTCCCTTTTTCTCCCCAGTGACCCCTTCCACCCCAGTCCCTCTCCACACCATTGTCTGTGTCCTTGGGTTGTGCCTATTTGCATATAAGTTCTTTGGTTACTCTCTCCCCCTCCACCCACCCGCCCTCCTCCATCCCTCTGAGATTAGTCAGTCTGACCCATGCTTCCATGTCAATGAATCTATTCTGTTCACCAGTTTATTAAGTTCTTTAGATTCCACATATAAGCGAGATCATGTGATGTTTCTCTTTCTCTGCCTGGCTTATTTCGCTTAACATAATATTCTCCAGGTCCTTCCATACTGTCACAAATGGTACCGGATCCTTCTTATTTATAGCTGTGTAGTATTCCATGGTGCAAATATCCCACAGCTTTTGTATCCACTCATCTACCGATGGGCACTTGAGCTGTTTCCAGATCTTAGCTATTGTGAACTGTGCTGCTGTGAACATAGGGGTGCATAAACTCTTTCTGATTGGTGTTTCAGGCTTCTTAAAGTTTCTTTTCAAATGCTGCTTCCCCTCTGGCTGCCACATAGGCCAGTGAAGCACACGGACAAGAGCCTGCATCCTTTCTGGTTCTACGGATAGCCCCCCACAACCCCTCTGCCCTCTCCATGACCTCTTTGCTCCCCATCTGCCCTCTTTTCCCACCTGCGGCCAAAGCAGGGAACTGAAACATGTGCTGGGGATTTGGGTTCCCTCTCCTACCCCTCCTGGTACTGTGTGATGACTGTGGGCACTGCCCTTGTCCTAAGGGATTGCATTCCTTAGCCACCTTCTGGGCAATCTAAGCCCTTAATTGGAGGGAATGGGGCCCAGCCTCTGCTATATCTTTCTCTTTTCTCCCTGGACGCCTGGGTTCTGTCCCTGTTCCTGGAAAGGAGGTGGAGATGAGATGAAGGGAAACCCTTCCAGCCACAGCACAGCACCCATGAGGGCAACTGTCCTGTTTCTCTCACTCTCCTGGGATCTAATATCACTCATCTCTTCAAAATTCCCTTCCTGCCTCTTCATCCTTCCAGTTACATTTTATGTGGATAGAAATTCACTTGTTCATGCTCTAATTCATATGGCAAGTATTGATGGTGCACCTGCTATGTGCCAGGTGCTTAATAAATGTTCGTGAGCCCAGCCGGGCGTGGCTCGGAGGTTGAGCATCGACCTAGGATCCAGGAGATCGGGGTTCGATTCCAAGTAGGGACACATGCCCGGGTTGTGGGCTCGATCCCTGGTAGGGGGCGTGCAGGAGGCAGCTGATCAATGATGACTCTCATCATTGATGTTTCTATCTCTCTCTTTCTCCCTCTCTGAAATAAAGATATATTTAAAAATAAATAAATAAATGTTTGTGATATGAATGAAAGGAAAACAGTAAAAGATACAGCTCTAGAGCCTTGTTCCCACCGGGTTTCATGGCCCAGGGAAATTAGTGTTAAGGCTTAAAGTGAAAGGTTATGTGCTTTTTTCTTTTATGTAGCTTAATATTAATTTTATTTTAATTTTTAAGTTAATATTTTCTACTACTATGATTATAAATATGAAGTTTAATGAAAGAAAATATTCCTTTTCCATTTTTTTCTGGATGTGATCATTTGTTTCATTTCATGATTATTACCGAAAGTGATGCTGTTGCTCTGGCTAGTGTTGCTCAGTGGTTAGAGCATTAGCCTGTGTACTGAAGGGTTGTGGGTTCGATTCCCAGTCAGGGCACATACCTTGGTTACAGGTTCAATCCCTGGCCCCTGGGGTGTGTGCTACAGGCGATCCATGTGTCTCTCTCATCAGTGTTTCTCTCTCTTTTTCTCTCTCCCTCCCTCTTTCTCCCTCCCCTCCACTCTCTAAAAATTATTGGAAAACATATTCTGGGGTGAAGATTAACAAAATAAATAAATAAATAAAGTGATGGTGTTGAATTGAGGAAGGGAGTATTTAAAAAGGTCCACTCTGATGTGAATGTGTGAGCTACACAACTGTGTGAGGGTCAGTGGTTCAGGATCATCCTGCCGGGCAGATGCTGTGTTGTCCAGTCAGCTGGGCTGCGTAGTCGAGTCCTGTGGTTGGGAAAAGGCCTGGCCAGTCCCCACCTCTGTGCCGAATGCTCAGGCCGCCCTGGGGAAATGGTTGCCCTTTGCTTCTGGCCTTAGCCCATTTCCTTTATTTTGTCGTCCCTCTAGGGGCAGAGCACAGTGCTGGGTTCAAGATCCTATTGCTTGGAATCATATTGCTGGTGGTCATCTGCTCAGTGGTCACAGTGGTGGTCGCATTGACCAGAAAGGTAAGACTCTGCCACCCCACCCCCATCACCTGCCCTTCCAGATTCTCTTTCTGTCCAGAGAGAGACGGAGATGGGATCTCCCCCATGGCTCTTTGTGCCTTTTTCATGGTCCTTGTTCTGCCTTTTGGGGAAGTTGTTTATATTCTTCTGTCCCTTCCCTTATCTGGGAGCTTCTGAAAGGTTGGACCTGTCTCCTCCCTCCCTTGCTGTCACCTACAATTTCCAGTTCCAGCCTGTCCCTTAAGCAGTGCTCTGGAAGTTTGGTTCAGCTGCTTTGACTGTGATGCATCTTGGGCATCTACTCTGCGAAAGGGATTTTTTGTATACTAGCTCATTTAATTTTAACAACCCTTCAGTAGTGCTGGGCTACCCAGCAATCCTGCAGGGTGAGAAATAAAATATGAGAGACCCCTGTTTACTGATCAAGGCCCTGGTATAGGAGATTTGCCCAAGCTTAAGATCCAGCCTTCTCTGAAGTTCTGTCTCTTTCTCTTTCTCTCTTTAAAAAAAATTTTTATTTAAATCAGGTAGAACTAGACTTGGATCCACTTGAGTAGCCATGTCACCTGACCTTGCTGAGCCTCAGCTTCCTCACCTGTAAATCAGAAATAATCATGGTGCTGCCCTCATAAAGTTGTGAGAAAATTGAAGTCAAATAATTCAAGTAAGCCACTTGGCATTTTTCCTGGAATGCATTAATAACCATCATTCTTATAAATATATGTTATTATAATTATTATAAATTTTATTTATCATAGAACCTCATAATACTTGGTGCTCAGTAAATATTTATAGTGCATGGATCAACTAGACTAAGTGAATGAATATTATTTGCCAAGCAGCTATTGGCAAAAATGCTCCCAGGGGACTGTCTGTGAGGGACAGGAGAGATGGGTGTGTCCAGCTCCAGGACCATGACTACCAGCCCCAGATCCTCTAAGAGGGCAATGCTTGTCCTGCAGGACCCAGCTGCAATCTCAGTAGCTGCCTTTGATCCTTTAGGATGTCAGTGCCTTAATCTCAAACTTGTTTTCTACACTGATCACAATTACAGAGTCCCCCAAACAGGATGCGATGCAAATGGAACAGCTGAAAGACCACCTCAGGCATATTTCCGATTCCCAGAGGTCTTTTTGAAGCCAGAAGAGCCCTAAGGTTCAAAGGCAAAGATGGTCAGGCTAAGAATTGGAGCAAGAACACACCAGCATGAAAGGTCACATAAGTCCTTTAAGAACGAGTTGGGTATCCATGTTTCAAAAATGGATAGAGTTGCCCTGGCCGGTGTGGCTCAGTTGGCTGAGAGTCGATTCAATTCCCGATCCGGGCACAAGCCTGAGTTGTGGGCTTGATCCCCAGTAAGGGGCATGCAGGAGGCAGCTGGTCTTACACAGATGTTTCTCTCTCCCTCTCCCTTCCTTTCTCTCTACAAATCAATTAAAAAAAATTGATAGGGTTGCACCAAGGTATATAGCACTTCTGTTCAGCCCAGCATCAGCATGACCTCTGATAACTACGCTTTTTCGTCCTACTTTTGGTAGATAAGGGGCAGCCATTTCTCTGAAAAGGAATGAATGAAACACTATGTGGGGAGAGACTACCTGACTGTGTGTGTTCTTCTGAGGCTATGGTGTCTCTCGAGGTCCAGCTCCGCAGGGCCCGCAGTTGTGCATCACTCTGAGTTTTTGTATTTGGTTCTGGTGAACATCCATGCAGCCCTGTTCACCTTCCCGCACAGCCCCCTGCGTGTATTTTGCGCTGTGAGCTTGACGCTAGCTAGTAATGGTGCCACTGTTTCCTATCCTGTGAGCAGTGCAGGGGGAGAGGGTGTGGGCAGAATGAAATCTAGTTTGCTTGTTGAGATTTGCCAAGTCTGTTAGTGACTCAGATCCTGTCCCTCAGACCTACACTGTGGGTGGGTAGCTTGCTTTAGAGAAGTCTCCAGTAAGACCCAGAGGGTGTCATCTTTGCACTGGGTGCTGTTAGGCATTTCTGTTGCCATCCTGTTTGTGTCTGCCGCTTCCGATTTCCTTGCCTGAGCACATCCCTCACCTGTGCCGCCCTCATATGGATATGATGGCTGACTTCACATCTCGATTTTCCCAGACAGATTTCACTGTTCAGGCCTATGTCCCACAGGTACAACTGTGGTTGCCTGACCATGAGTCCTTACTTTGATTCAGAAAATCTGGTTCTTTTAGGTATGTGGCTGTAGAAGACTGTGTGTGTGCATGTGTGTGTGTGTGTGTGCATGTGTGTGTGTGCTTGTGTGTGTCCTACAACATATACTGAGTATCTGTCATGGGCTCTGAGATTACACAGAAGAACACAGCACAGCCCCTTCCCCAGGGACCTCACAGTTTGGGGCCTGGAGAAGACAGGGGGTAAACAGAAGGTCCCAGGCAGCATTCAGAGTTACAGCAGAGAACATCCAGGACCATACTCGAGCACACGGGAGAGTGCGGCTCCCGTGGAAGGGTCAGAGAAGGCTTCTCAGACAACGTGCTGTGGAGCTGCATCTGGAGGGAAGTACAGAGGATGGACAATGGGTGCAACACATGCAAAGCTGGGGAGTCGGGAAGCAGTGCCTGGCATTCTAGAAGCCGCAGATGAGAGGCAGCTTGGTTGAGGAGAAAGAGCCTGGAGTCGGACAAACCCAAGTCAGAATTGGATTTGTCCTTGGGCAAGTGCCCGCACCGGTCTGTGCCCGTGAGCTAATTCACAGGCTTCAGTGGGGTGCTGGTGAGGTTACGCGAGAAGCGAGCCCAGGCCCTGCTCGCGGCACCTCTCCGACATCAGGCCCTGGACCAGAGGCTGGGGTGTTGGTGGGGCAAGCGCTGCAGGAAGCTGGGAAGGCGAGTGTGGCCAAGTTACATGGGACATTTTGGGGGCATCACACAAGCTTCCTGTGGGTGAATCTATGGACTTCCTGGGAGAATGCAACTCAGACCAGGTGTTTTTACATAACTTAAGTGGTTTTATAAATCCCTCGAAGTCCTCCGATGGCTTCTGTAGACAGTGGGAGACATCAAAGGGTTTGGGCAGGGGCGCAGCATGACCCAGCTTGCGCTTGTGAAGGATCACTCCGCTGGTGGCCACGTGGAAGCTGGACTAGAGGTAAGAGGGGCTCCAGAGGCGGGTGAGTGTGGAAGCACAGGAGAGAGATAAGACATGAAGGTGGGGGCAGGAAAGGGAGTAGGTTTCCTAGGACTGGATTTTACGGCCACTTGGAGTTTGACATTAGCCTCCAGGTCTCTGCGCTGGTGCTGTGCACCAGGCTGGAACTGTGGGGGGAGCAGTCTGTGGAGGAGGGCGTGTGTTGGGCTCCCCTGAGGCAGGGTGAGCCTGAGCTTGCTGTGGGGCATCCCGTGGCCGTGCCCAGTCAGCAGGTAGTCATCTGGGTCTGGAGCTCAGGGCCACAGCGTGGGCTGGTGAAGATGGAGATCTGGGAAGAGGGTGGTTGTAGATGTGTATTTAGATGAAGTGACACCGAGAAAGTGCTGAATGTGAGAAAAAGCAGAGGGCAGAACCCGGGGAAACCCCGTTATAAGGGGAGGTGTGAAAGCAGAGAAGAGCAGGGCTGGCTGGCGATGCAGGCGGGGCTCACGGGAGGAGGAGAACCGGGGGACCAATACCATGGAAGCCGGGAGGGAGGACATTTGAAAAAGGAGGACAGTTGAAAAAGTGTGGGGGCGGCAGAGAGAGAGAGGTTGGGTGCAAACTGCCCCACTGGGCTTAGAGAATAGGGAGGAATGGGTTCAGGTGCACTGCGTGTGTAAAAAGTTTTATTTCTGTGGAGTAGTTAGCACTGAAATCCAGCTGTGACAAAGTTGAGAAATTAAGGGTCAAGAAACGGTGTTGGTAAGAACTCAACATTGCCTCGTGTGTGTGTGTGTGTGTGTGTGTGTGTGTGTGTGTGTGTGTAAGAAAGGAAGAGAGAGATCATTATAATTATGTATCATGTTGGGGAGTAACTTTGGAATAACACCCCTACATACTCTGTTGTTTGTTTTTAGAAAAAGTTTCTCAGAATCCGCTCTGCAGACAGCAGCCTGGGGAGAGTGCCGCCTGCGCCCGAGGAACGGAGGCCCAGCGTTGCGTCGTCCCCTGGAAGCCCTGTCCCTGCGGAGGCTGCGCCTGGGGGCCTCTGCACAGAGCAGGGGGCAGAGGACAATGCTGAGCCACACGACTACTTCAACGTCCTGAGTTACAGAAGCCTCGCGGACATCAGCTTCCTGGCAGAGACTGGTTAGCGGTCGGAGGCACCTTCCGTGAGACACAGCCCGTCTGTGCCATTACCAAGGGATGCACGGGGCCTGCACCCTCCGTCACCGAGCCCCCGCGCACATGGTGTGCATGGATGCCACCCTCTTCTGACCTGCATTTCCTCTACCCTTCCCTTCCACTCTACTGTGGCAGACGAGGGTGAGCAGCTCGAATCTTGATTTTGAATGCAGTGTTAAAAAAAAGTGTGACCTGGTTTTGCATCTGGTAGTTTGAGCCAATTCTGTGGCTCTGAGCAACGCATTTCTCCCAACTGTACTGGGCGGGGGCTCAGGTTGCAGGGTTTTGTGGTGGATGGTGATGAGCTTGTGATTGCAGAGCCACACTCATCTCATTTCTCACTGTCGTTTCCATCAACATTCACACATTCGAAGCATTTTTTTTTTTTTTTAAATATATCTTTATTGATTTCAGAGAGAGGAAAGGAGAGGGACACAGAGAGAGAAACATCAGGGATGCGAGAGTCGTTGATCTGCTGCCTCCTGCACGCCCCTGACTGGGGATCGAGCCCACAACCCAGGCATGTGCCCTGACCAGGAATCGAACCCTGATTGCTTGGATCCTAGGTCGACCCTCAACCGCTGAGCCACGCCTGGCCAGGATCGAGGCATTTTATGAGAAAGGCTTGGTCCCAGCTTCTGAGAGGAGGTTCAAGCATGGCTAAACCACGGTCTCGAGCCTCAGGCCTTCGAGAACTTCAGGTTAACTGGGGAGATAACATTTCCATGGCAAGGTAGTAAGGAGGTAGAGATAGAAGGCCCAGGTGTTTGGGAAGGTAAGCCGGTTTGGTGCGGGACAGTCAGGATAGGCTGCCTGTGGTGAAGTGGCCTAGGAGGAGGAGGGAACAGAGAGGCTGGGCTGCTGAGAGCAGGAGTTTTGTCCAAGGAACTTGCAGAAACCAAAGTCGGGAGCTGAAGGCCCCACAAGGAAGACCCTGGTACCAAGGGAACCAACAGGACTTGAGATTCTCCTCTCTGGGCAGGAGATTCAAGCCTCCTCTTGTTGGACATACGCTGCGTGTAGCGATGGACTATGTGGAGGACTCTGAGCTCTTCCCGTCACGCGCTGGGGGAGCCACGGAAATGGCACATGTCCACGCGGGGCCTGCGTCTTAGTCCTTGGACCATGACCCACCTTTTCTTTATCAGTCCACCACCGAGCTTTGAAGAAAGAATCTGTTTCCCACTAAAATGAAAACACAGGTTTTTAAAATAAGGACTCTTCCTGGGAAAAAATAAGAGTGGTAGAGGATTTTTAAAATTTATACTCCAAGCTATCTTCTCTGAACCCTTAAATTCATCCCTGACCTCTTCGTGCTGGGGTTGGGGTGGCATCGGAGCTGCTCATTTCTGTTCAGGTGGCATTTAGGCTTTTGTCTCTAGAGAAATGAGGAAGGAGATTGGTTTACAGGTGAGTGATTTTCTTTCATCGGCACAGGAACCAAGAGAGATTGGGAAGCAAAGCTGTCTCCTGCCAACTGTTAGAATAAAACATTGCCCTGCTCCCCAAGAATCAGGCTAGTTGAAGAATCAGCAAGAAGACAATTCAACTCCTACTGCTCCTTGGACTTTTATTTTTATGTTTCTCACTTTTCGACCAGACAGGTGTGTAGTTCAGAACAATGAGCTGAAATCTGTCCAGAGTGCCCAGCTTTTTGGAAGAAAGAGAGACACATGGAAAAGGCTGTTGTTTGCCATGGCAGTACACAGCATTTTTCTTTCACAACTAGTGCAAATTTGTTGGGAGTAGGACACAATTCACGGGCAGGAAAGGAACGAAGATGTAATGACGAAAAGGGAGTGTTGTTTGGATTTGATGGAGGTGTCTATTGAGCCAGGGTAGACTGAGAGTTGGGTGTTATTTAACATGACTGTGGTAACTGGGAAACATTTACAAATACCGTTTGGAGTTGATAAAAAAAGAAAACCACCCAGAAGGACCCAGAGATGTCGTAAGTGGGTCAGGTTACTAAAATGAAATTGAATTCAACAGAAAATAAATAATAAATTTTAAAGTGGAATTCAATAAACTAGATTTTCCTTGGAGAAACAGAGGAGCCAATCTCGTAAAAGCCAGATTACTGGGGCCACGCAAAGTCCAGGCCAGTAGCCACTCTCCACGTGCAGCTACGAGCATGAGACGTGGTTAGTCTGAACTGAGATTGTTGTGAGTGTAAAATACACAATCAGGTTGTGGAGACTTAGTGAGACTAATAAGAATGTAAATGATCACATCAGTCACTTATAGTATTGATTTCATTTCAAAATGATAATATTTTGGATATGTTGGGTTAAATAAAATATATTATTAAAACTGATTTCCCATTTCTTTATATTCTCTTAATGTGACTACTGGAAAACCTGAAATTGTGTATATGGCTCCCACTGTATTTTTATTGGACCCTGTAGCTCTAGATTCTAAACCGGAGCCGAGCTGGTATCTGGGGGATGGTGCCTATCTCTGACTGATGGTCTCTCTCATTCAACATAGGGTTTGATTAGACTTTTTTTCCTTTTATTATGTNCCTGGGGGATGGTGCCTATCTCTGACTGATGGTCTCTGTCTCTCATTCAACATAGGGTTTGATTAGACTTTTTTTCCTTTTATTATGTCTTTCTAGAAATATGTAGGGAAAAATCACAAGGGTAGAGTGAGGCCTGGGGCCACTAAGTGCAGACAGGAGAGACCCTGGGCTGTCTTGGATCCCCTCTTGAATTCCTTGACAGGAGGAGAGAATAGAAGGAGAATCATTGAATGATGAGAGTTCAGGGAGAAATAAATTAACTGATTCCCTACCCCTTATCACTCCACATTCTAAGCCTGCGCATACAGAGTTTGACCTATAATCCAAAGACTTATACTGAACAAATATGAATAAGAAATCTGAGTCATGGAGCTTTGAGGTAGAGGATCCTCATGAGTGGACAGGACCTTACCATGCAATTTTATTTCATGACTCGTCCCTTCTCACCTGATGAGCCCCAGAATTACAATGAATCACCACATAGTCAGGTTCAGACAAGTTCCATCAGCACTGAGCTGGACAGGCAGGGCGGCTGAGCACTGCCATACAGGAATGGCAGTATTCTGGTGGGCAAACTACACCCCACAAAGAGGGAGCCAGCAGCACGGCTGTGGCTGTCAGTGAGGGGGATGAGTTTCATTCAGTCTTCTGGTTCTTTCTAGTCCTGCTTCAACACTATAACTAGTGATCCCTCATCTCTACTCCATCGCATACCTGTCAAGAGGCCCAGGGGAGCCCTATGTGTGCAAGAGCTTGAGGTTCCTGGAGGTCAGAAATATATACTTCGATGTTTCAGAGAATTAATTTGCATGAAATAGAGTCTAGGCCAATACTATCCAACAGAACTTTCTGTGATGAAAGTTCTGTGTCTTTGCTGTTCAATGTGGCAGCCACTACCCACATGCAGCTACTGAGCACTTGAAAGGTGGTTAATGTGACAAAGAAATTGAATTTTAAATTGTATTTCATTTTAATTAACTTAAATTCAAATGTAAGTAGGGAGATGTGACTGGTAGCTAGTATATTAAACATTGCAGTTCTAGTAATTGACTTGCATATGGAGAACACACAGAGAGGTGTGTTTATAGGCCGCTGGACGGCTCTACAGATGTTATGCATTTGAAAGAACTATGACCAGGAAGAAACGAGGAAGTTCTCTTCTAGTGTCCTGTATCCCTCCTTTGGTCAAGAGAAAGCATGAGGCCAAAAGCAGGGTGTGAATTTATTTCTTTCAGACTCTTTCCAAAAGACACCGGAGGGAGATAAGTGGTCCAGTTAACGTGCACAGGGTCAGGGCTGTCAAGAAGTTGCAACTCAGGGGTGTTGTGCAGGAAGAGACTTGCAGCACAGGACTTGTCCTGGTCATTCTGATTTCATGAACGTTGTGAAGAACACTTTCTCTGGGGCCAAAAGTCTGGCTGATTTTACAGTGATCAACAGAGAAGTAGCTATGGTGTCGTGGACTGGGAGTCAAAGCACTTGGTCCGAGTGCTAAGCACTGCTATTTCACTGCATGCCTTTGGAATGAGCACCTGAACTTCCCGATCCTCATTACAAATGTTTCCTTGTTTATACAATGGTAATAATAACATCTCATTTATACTGTTGGTGGGAAGATGCAGTAAGATAAGGCGGTTGACTCTTTGTAAGCTGTAAAATGCTGAATTCATATTACTGTTCTATCATGTCCCATAAGCATGTGTGCCTGGGACTGCTAATGCCACAGAGGTCCCCAGGGGGGCACCAAATTGTTGGGACAAACCAAGGTATCTGAAATTATCTAACTCTTAAAAACTGGGATTTAAGGAATGCTAAGAACTGCAGATGTGTCCTTGGGGTCTGCAAGTTATTTGTTAAGTATTTTAAGATTTTTGTGTTGTGAGATGATAATCTTTTAAAAAGTCAAACAGACCTGGGATATCGATGACCTTCTTGTAACAGAGTTCTGTCATTATCTTCAGTCCCCATATTTGTGTTTATAATTAAGTTGGCTTCAAGATATGGAGGCTCAATTAATAAATAATTCATTTGCTCCACGTGGGCAGAATAGGAGATTTTGCAGCAGTCGAAAGACTAGGGAAGTGGTGGAAGTGTCTTCACCTTGCCCACTGCAGTGTAGGGATGCTGCAGGCAGGACGCACGCCGGGGCAGGCACTGTGCCCCACTCAGGGAGCAAAGCGTCATCCAATATAGCAAATCCATGCTGTTATTTTAACCTATCAATTTTATAGCTTTATTAGTATTTTTTACTTGTATTTTAAATTTTTAAAAAATTTACCTTTATTCATTTTATTTTAGTTTTATAATTCTGTAACAGATATAAGGCTTACCTGGTTGCATGTTTGAGCATATTTAAGAAAGATGATAATAAAAATAATTGTGCCCTATATTGTTAATTTATTTCTAAACATTATAATAATCAGATTCTGCCTATGGGGGTGGTCTGTGAGAAGCATCTTTTTTTTTTTTGCT